GCGGCGCACTATCCAGTGCGCCACCGGGACGGCCCAGATTTTTTTTAAAAAAGTAACAGCAATAGCTTTCTGCAAATATCACATTTAAAAAACATTTAATAAGGTTATTTTTAAAATATTTTTTATTCACTGTGAAATGATTACTATAGTCAGGCTATTTAACATATCTATCAATTCACATAGTTGCTTTTTTGTGTGTGCTTGGTGAGAACACTTACAACCTACTCTCTTAGCAAATCTCAAGTGTACAATACAGTATTACTAACTATAGTCGCCATGCTGTACATTATATCTCTAGAAGTTATTCACCTACATAACTGAAACTGTGTACTCTTTCACCAACATCTCTCAACTTCTTCCATCTCCCCTGAAAAGCAACCATTCTACTCTCTGCTTCTACAAATTCAACTAAAAAATATTCTTGAAGAAACACACCAGTTATAGAAAATGCTTTAGATATTATAGAAACTTGATCTAAAGGCCAAAAATTAAGCCAATTTTCTTTTTTTATAATTGCTAGAAAGAAGTACAAGTTGTAGAAAAATTTAATCTGATTACAGAAGAGTTTCATTGAAAGTATATATGCCTAATATATTTTAATCAGATGTAAACATTAACTTTTATCAAAAGAGCAGGTTAAAAAAAAAAGGTTAATATATCTATAAACCAAAATCCTACTTATAGAACATGGGGGTGGGGAAGGGAATCTTCTCACATAGTCCTGACAATTAGAAAATCTAAAACGAGGGTTGGCCTATGGCTCACTTGGGAGAGTGTGGTGCTCATAACGCCAAGGCCACGTGTTCGGATCCCTATATAGGGATGGCCGGTTAGCTCACTTGGGAGATGGTGGTGCTGACAACACCAAATCAAGGGTTAAGATCTCCTTACCAGTCATCTTTAAAAAAAAGAGAGAAAAGAAAAGAAAATCTAAAACGATTATGACTTATTTAATATCCATGGTCTTTATGAATATTTATAAAAGGATTTACTTTTTAAAGTTCTAAATGTCATTCTAACTTTACAAACCAGGCTGTAATTCTGATGAGCTGCAAAAAAAAATGGAAATTAAATTTTTTAAAGCAGTATATTCTACATTACAGCAAAAGTCTTACAAATTATATTATTAGATTCTAGAGAAAAGAACAAAGGTGAAAGGCAATGCAAACTCAAAAATATCTTTCCACCTGCCAGTCAGGAATATTTTATGTAGCCACTTAAAGTAATGACTTTTAAAATTTTACATAATATTTAATGATATAATAGTGATGACTTCACTAATAATATAATGCAACCTCAAAATGAATGAGTTAACATTATATAGCAGAATTCAATTTTCTTCTTTCCGATTTTTGGGTCATTTTATTCTCTTCTTAACTAAAAGTATTCTTTAGAAGAAATTTCAACTTTGACAGCAATCTTCAGTACATACCTCAAAAATAAATCATAAAAATGTAAGGATTTTTATAACAGATATTCCAAAAGATTATTATTTGTAGGGGGAAAAAAATCTTACAAATTATTGGTGAAATTACTTAAATTTCAAAAGATTAAAACCAATTATATGTTTAATGTTAACACATTCGATATACTAATTTATCAACATATTTGCATAAAATCAAAATTAATTAAAATTATTGCCATCCATCCCAAGACATATCCCAAATTACCAAGTATAAATTAACATAAAAGCTTTCTACATAAGTTTTTACACACCTCCGACACACTTCTGGACTCACTTGGGTAAATATGGATCTTTCCAACAGCAGCAGCAGTTTCTACAAAGTTATTTACCTTGTCCAGGTCTTGCAGTTACAGCTGCTCCAGCAGATGGCGGCTCAAACTCCTGTCAATTACAATAATGTTATTACAGTGACCAATTACAACACACAATTTATAATAAAACAGTAGTGATATCACAGCCTTACCTTTGCTTTCTTTGAGTCTGGATCAAACCTTTCAAGAATTAATTTAGCTGTCTTATAAGTTTCTTTTTCCATGACTTCCTCAAGCTACAAACAAAAATTTCCATAAGTTGTCACATTTTAAAACACACACAGTACTTACTTTTATAAGTCTTATTCAGAAAGTATTCAAGTAAAAGACTTAATATAACCAGACAGAATGAAAGACTTCCTACATTCAAATAATTATAATCTAGATTTTAAAATGGCTTCTAACCTCTAATACGTTACCTTGTGTTTAACAGCTTTACTGCAAGGAAATACCAAATATTGCTAATTGTTTACATATAATGAGGAGAATAATTACAAGCACCAACTTCAATAATGGAATGTGCAAAAATCTATCAGCCATCATTATTGGAAGTTATTAGACATGACAAGCAAATGACAGGCAATTCCTCAGATTTATTTCCTCATAGCAGTTAATGCTATTAATTTAAAGAAGGTCGTTAGCCAAGAGCTTTACAAAATAAAATCTCTGTGCCAATTAACTGCTGTCAGCATCGATTTTAGATTATTTATTAGCAAAAGCAATTAGCTTGCTGCAAATGCAGTGAAAACTCACTAACTGGGAAAACAGCCATGGAATTTGCTTAAATGATTTTAAAAGCCAAAGCCCTCCCCTCCTTATTTTTACTTAGATTCAAACAACTTCAGAGAAAAGAAAACTGAACATAGAATTTAAGGAAAAATTTTAACTGAGTTCTATACTCACACTAGGGAAAGTAATTAAAACATTTCATTATTATAGCATTTTATTTACAATGCACTCAAGTCACTTTACAGCTTAATACTAGGATTTAACTCAAAAAAATTACTAGTAAAACATCATTTTAGCAGTTATGGACAAACATCAGAAAAAGTTGGACTTCAGCACAAGACAATCATAGTTATGACAAATACCTAATGTGTAGGATAAAATGCTTTTGCAGAAACTAGAACACGACATTTTCCTCCTCAGTGACCACTGATAGCCACTTAGATTCATTAAATGTCATATTCGATCCAAAGGACATTTATTTTTAAATGCAACCCACAGCAAGTTTACTGAGTTTAAAATTTAGTTAAAAATATGTTGCCAGATAGCAGTTAATGGATTCCTCATTAAACACTCAAAATGTAGGAAGCTAAGTGCTTAGATTAATGATTTACTAACCCTTAGTTCAGTCAAACTAAAATATTTTCTTAATTACTTCAAAATTATGATAAATTCTCAAAATAAGCAAGTTGAATTTTCTTATGTAAAGGAAATGTTTGTAATCTCACTTTAGAGTTGGAAAAAAAATGAGGAACAGGGGTAGAAAGAAGGTGTGATAGAATATATCCCAAAATCTACATAATCTACATGAAATATCAAACCCAGTCCCCAATCTCTATAAATTAGATATTTGATTGTTTTAGAACAGTGTTGTGTAATAGAACTTTACATAATGATGGAAATGGTCCATATTAGCATAATGGTAGCCACTAAGCCACGTGTGATAAATGAGCACTTAAAATATTGTTTGTGCAACTGAGCAACTGAATTTGTAGTTTTATTTCATTTTAAATAATGTAAATTTAAATAGCTGCATGGGGCTAGTGACTACTGATTTGGACAGCACAGCTCTAGACTTAGACTACTGCTAGACTTAAAAAGAAGGCAAGATACAACTGTGATATTAAAAAACACATAAAACTAAAAACCAAAATAATACTTGATCAAATGATTGTAATTCCTGGTAAATTATTCAGCAATTACTCATGTGTGCTTATGTTTTATTTATTTACCTTAAATAAAATCATTTTTAAAAGCATGAAAAGATACAAATCCATTCTCCTTTCTGTTTGCATTTACTTCCAAAAAAAGGATTTCACTTAATAGCTTAATGAACAGACTTATCCACATAATATTTTAAGTGAATAATGTGTTTTAAATACAGAGATGCTCTGATTAGTAGAAAGAACATGAACTTGAAACTTTGAGGTCAGAACAAATCCGGATTCAAAGCACATTTTCATCCTTAAAAAGACCAGGAGCAAATTTGTCAGCCTACCTTTGTCCTTTTGTAAGACAGAAATATTAATATTTTTTCCTAGAACTCTTGTGCAATTTAAATAATGTAGGAGAAAGAGTTCACAGGAGTGCCTAAAACACTAACATAATTTTCAGTGACACCTCAGTTATTCAGAATGAGTTTGAAATACGTAGTGTTTCCAAATACCCAACATATTAATCTCAGGATTCAGTACTAAGAAATCAGAATTCCTGAGAATTCTCTAACTCATGGGTTCTTCTGTATTTCTCATAATACTGTATTTTAAACATAATGAGTGACATAACAAAGAGGGAATTGTTCTGCTGTGAGATGGTCATACTAAAACTTTCAAGAGCATTTTTCTTTAAAAAGATAGAATAATAAATACATGGTTTATTATTATGAATCAATATTATTATGACAAGATTACATATTTTAATGACATATAAAAATTATTTCTACCTGATACAGCTATTTCATCATAGACAACATTAAAAGAAACAAACACTAACACAAAATAAATATCAAAAAAATCTCCTAAATTTTGAAAGATAATTCTACAAGTATTTAATACTGAAATAATCATTCTTGAAATATTATTTTAAAACACACAAAGCATTAATTGCCCTATCCAATATTCTTGATCTTTGGTTCATGACAAATATTCCAGATATAAAAAATCTTCCTCCATTCTGCACTGACTTTGGTCAAATTATTAAGAATGTATCCAAAAGTATCTTCATAGCATTAGGGAACATGTTACATCATATAAACTCATCCTTTTATAAGATGAAAATATTGTCTGCTTACCCTGCTTTTGGTTTCACTGTTGAAAGTGATAATGTTTTTGCTAATTCAGATTTTATATCATTTCTGACTTCATACAGTACTCTACAATAATAGTCACATCTTCACTCTTTGCATTTTTTCTCTTACTCTATAGCCTATAGTGAATATTCAAATATTGGAAACACCAGCAAATATTACTGGGTAATATGTAACATTTGAAACTTCCAGTGAAGACAACAGCCCTAAACAGAACTGCATGTTAAAATTGCCATTAAATTGGACATAAATGGACTTCTGTTGCTTCCAAAATTTATTTCATGGAATATCACTCATAGGATTTAGATAAAGTATACTACGTGTATAAACTTCTTAATATTTATTTGCAAGAATGACTCACCATTAATAAGAGAAAGGGCAATAAAAGCATCCTTATAACATGCCACAAAAACAAGACTGACTGATTAGATTGCACCACTACTCTTCTACATGCTTCTGTCCTTTTCCCAGAAATGTCGACATTAACCCGCAGCTTAGCATGTCAACATTTCTTGCTCTTGCTTTCAACAGATATTAGTGGGTTTCTTTGAACTAGTAACATGTGTAGCCGATTAGTAAGCTTTACTTCTCAGAGAATTATAACACTTTTCCCCATGTTCCCAATTTCTCAACTGCTTTATCTCAGGAATCAGAAAAATATAAATTTCCAAAAAATGCCAGAAAGGAGTGACCATATAGAAACACTATTTTTAGAGAAAGCACAGCATTTTCATGAAGCCACTTAAAGAGGTAAAATTGACTTGTGCAATTTGATGGATCTTGATTTTGAACTGTTTTGAAGGAATGCTCATGGAAGCAGCAGAGGGATTACCTGTTGCACAGATTACTCAGAAATTTTAAAAACTTCTAGTTTTTTTTAAAGGAGCACAAAATGTGTGAGTGGCAAAATGCACACATCCAGATATGGGAATTTTTTAGATATCTGAAAATTGACTCCTAGCTAAATTTTAATAAGTAAATACTTATTAAGGTCTTAATATTTAAAACATTGTTAGATACTACTTGTTTTCCTAAGTAATTTTAACACTTTAGTCAATTGATAATTCATATTCATCATTACAAATTACACTTTTACACATTTCAAATTAAATTACAAATCATTTCAGATTAAAGAGATGCATCCCTAAGGAAACCACCTTTAATAAAATAACAAGTAGTAAATATAACATGTATTAATTTTGTTAATGAAGGAGAAAAGTGTTGGGACTTGGATAATTTTAGACTGACAGGAGTTATTTTCCTGCAGGCATTTCGACAATAAAAATATTTTTTAAACTGTAAATGTAGTGTTGAAACGTAAACATCAAAGAACAAACTCAGGTTTAAATATGTTCAGCTTTGGCTCAAAAGTAATGTCCCTTCTTTTTCCTCTTACAATTAGCATTATCTTAGAAAGCAGAAGACACTGAAGAAAAAATTCTCTCCCTCTTGCCACTTTCTTCAGTCTTTTTATGTTGAATTTGTCTCTTATAGCCAATCTTCTTGATTCCCCCTTTCTTGGCCTTATGATGTCAAGAAAACCTGAGAACTGACATACGTAGATGCTTGGTACTTTTTTGGCTCTAATAAACAATCTGGACACCAACGTTTTACTCTCTCTTTTTTTACCCTCTTTTGCCCTCCAATATGATTAATTTACTTACTTCTCAGCTTCCAACTGACACATTCTCAGAATCTTAAAAATCCATGTAACCTATTTTTTCCTGTCAATCATTATTAACTAGCAAAAATATTCGTAATTTAGGTTCAACAATAAAATGCTATCTAAAAGGATACTTGCTCTTGGGAGTTGTTAACTTATAACATACAAGGGTCTTCAAAACATTCATGGAAAGACTCACATTATTTTTTAATTCTATTTTTCCATGAACGTTTTGAAGTACCCTCATACAAACATTAATTATTCACTTCATAAGTTATTAGTTTTACATAAGTTAATTTTAAATAAAAGTTAACTTACTATTTTTTTCTTCTGAGATTTTAAATCATCCAATGCTTCATCTAGAAAACAAGATTTAAATCAAAGCTAAATCAGATACTAAGATACCTAGACATAAGAAAAAACATGCCAACTGATATACATTAAGCAACCAAAAAAAATTTTTCTCATTTTGGAATTTCTCTATATTTAACTAATGTATAAAGATAAAAATTATCTGTCTTTAACCATATATATTTCATGTTTTTGTCGGCATTATATATTGCAAGTGATTTAGGAGAAAATAAATGGGCTGTATATAGAATAAAACACCTTTCCAAATTTAAAAAGATATACATATTTTTAAAATGATTTTGGAAACATTACTTTCTATTTATTTCTTTCCTTTCAACATCCCAACCAACATTAATTTATAAAATTAGTACCAAATCTCTTTTCATACAATGATAACGAAAATGTTCTCTTTGTTTTGTAAGGAAAGAAGTACATATTTTATTAAATTAGTCAACCCTCAAGATAATGAGCTCTAATAAAGAAAATCTCTTGAAAATCTGTATTATTATACCTCAGGAGGAACTCGGAAAGGCATACTAATAACTTTTCAAAATTAAACATTTCTAAGATTTACCTGCTTATTTAGGTTGGCATGGTGGAACACAGAGAATCATTTCAGAATCATTTATGACTGTCATTGTCTACTTCACAAAATTTATTTAGGTTTCTAGCTTTTCTCTAGAAATATTTAACTAGTACAAACAGAAATACTACTCCATATAAAAGAAGAGTTATGAATTGATCTAAACAATTTATCAAATGAAATTTAAATAACTATTCTTAATTTTTAATATTTAAAATTTATAAATAAAATTATTACCTCTTCACTGAAATTCTAGATAGCAAACATCTGAATACCCATATATTATTTATGTAAAAATTCCAAGAAACACAAACATATTAAGAAAGATTTTACCTTAAAAAAAAGGTTTAATATATTAAGTATTTAGTGTGCTAGGAGACTTATTACTAAAGGGGAAAAAAATCTTTTGACATCTTTAAGGAGAGTAGCAACTTTTAGGACCAGCCCGTGGCTCACTCGGGAGAGTGCGGTGCTGATGACACCAAGGCCACGAGTTCGGATATTACATAGGGACGGCCGGTTAGCTCACTGGCTGAGCGTGGTGCTGACAACACCAGGCCAAGGGTTAAGATCCCCTTACCGGTCATCTTTTAAAAAGAAAAAAAAAAATAGTAACTTTTAGTTAGATAAGACCAAGCCAAACATCTATCCTCCGAGCCAGGGGTAAGCAAATTTTTTCTGTAAATGGCTAAATAGTAAATATTTTAGGCTTTATGGGTCAAAAGGCAAAATTGAGTCTGTACTTTTAAAGCAAAAGATAAAAAAGTTTCCAAAAACCTTTTACTGACAAAATTCAAATATAATAAGAATATTTGAGTTCAGTTTTTTGTAATATAGGTCGACTAACGAAAAGAATGGAATATTTTGGCGGGGAGAGAATAACAGTTCACTTAATTGATGTTCAAAGTTAGTGTTCTCTATCATCAAAATTGATTGTAAGTAATAACCATTAATGCTGATCTACAATGAGATTTTACACATTTGATTTTTAAAGATATCTTCTCACAAAGTACTGCCAAATAATGATATCAATCCATAAGCACATAATTTTAATTAAGTATATTCATCATTTGAAAGGCATCTATAAAATTCTATTAGATTCTTCTCTTGATATTTGCCTTTTAGCACATCCTTACATTGCAAATTAATCATTTCCAATTGAAAATTCATAGAAGCTCCTCAATTATACAGTTAAATGGATTTAGAAATATGGAAATTTCCTTTGCACATGCCTGGAGATCTGGAAAACACTGCTGGAACTGTACTTTGAGCTCAAATAACTCATCTACTGCAAATTTGTACAGGAATGGAGATCTCACTTCTTGTTTTAACTTTTCATGTCACTTTTTTAAAGATTACTTTTTGCCTTTACAATGTTAGTTGTTTTCTAAATGACTTTACAGCAGTATAGGTTTTGCATATATGCATTGTTGTCAATTACAATATTAGGTTGAATTCATTAAGGACTATTATCAAGTCTGCGGAAAAAGCTAATTTCCAAAGCCAGTTAGTATTCAATCAAAGTGGTTAAAGGTGGTTCTTCTCATTCAGAAATATTTCAATCTGAGCTCTGAGCTCAAAGTATCACAATAAAACTTTATCAGTGCTAAGCCATCAAACTGAAGTGTGGTAGGGTAAGTCAAGATATTCAGCTTCCATTTCTGATAAAAGTTCACATAACTGAAAATTATTAAGTCCATGAGAGAAGCATTGTCCAATATAGTAGCCACTAGCTACACAGGACTATTTAAATTTAAACTAATTCAAATTAAATAACATTTAAAATCTATTTCTTCAGTTGCACTTGCCACATTTCAAGTGCTCAATAGCCACAAATGGATACCACATTGGACAGTAGACATAGATTATTTTCATCACCACAGAAGGTTCCAATGGACAGTACAGACCTAAACAAATTATCAAGAAGAGAAAGCCAAGGACAGAATTCTAGTAGTGAAGGTGCAAATAAATAAAACTAAAAAAGAAATAACCAGTAAAATGTTATCAAAGAAGGTTAAAGAAAAAAAGTTTCAAGAAAAAGAGTGAATAACTGAATTAATTCAAACACTATTAAGAGATCAAGTTGGATGAGAAAACAGAACAGACTACTGGCTTTGACAAGATATGGATAATTAGTGACCTTGAAATGAGCAACTGCAGTGAAAACTGGTGAAAACCAAATCTAAACAAAGTAGGCTAAGAAGGAATGGGGGGGGGGGGGGGGGGAGAGGTACTAACTACAGACAGCTTTTTAAAAAGTTTTACTTGGAAGGAGAGAAATGGATGGTGGCTTAAAGGAGAGTATGGGGTCAGGATAGGTTCTTTACCCCCGGATGGTGTATTGAGGCAGGATTATATGCTAACAGGAATAATTCAACAGAAATGGATGATGCAAAAGAGAAGATAAATACAGGAGATAATTGTAAGAGCCAAGTTCTTGAGATGGCCAGAGTATCTAGAATCCAAAGAACAAATGAGGGTTAGCCATAGATAGGATCAAGGCAGTCTTCCAGAAATCTTGAAGGATAATACTAAGTACAGATAGAGCTAACTTGATATATTGGGTGGTGGAGGTATGTAGTGGATTGAATTGTCCCCCCAAAACTCATTGAAGCGTGAATTGTGTCCCCCAAGTTTTATGTATTAGAAACTTAGACCCCACTGTGACTGTTAAGAGGATGGGAAATCCTGTTATGGTAATTAAAAGGTGGAGCCTGGAAGAGGTGATTAGATTGTAGGACCAGGCAGTAGTGAATGGATTAAAAACGGTAGTCAGGGACGTGGTTCTGAGGGCTTCAAAAGAAGAAAGTCTGTCTCTCTCTCTCTCTCTTGCTCTCTCTCTGCATCTTGCAATGTGAAACCACTGAATCACTGTCACCACCATCAGATGGACTTTGGACTTCCCAGCCTGAGAAACTGTAAGCAATAAATTTCATTTTTCTTTATAAATCACCCAGTCTCAGGTATTCTGTTATAGCAACACAAAAAGGTAGCTCTTCTCTGTTTACATCTATTTTCTGTATAAAGTGAGAATATGAGTTAAGAATGGCCAGGTAGATTTTGTGGAGTTGTTTATTTGTGGCTTTTGTTTTTCATTTGGTTGGTTGTTGGTTGGTTTGGGTTTGGTTTGGTTTTTGGTTTTTTGGTGGGTAGGCAGGTATAAGTAATTTGAGGAGATATACAGTATCAAACCGATCAAAGAGAAAAATTTGAATTTACTAGGGAACTATGACAGGACTGTATAGCAGAGTTGAGTGCACATTTGATGTTTGCAATCACAGATTTAAAATAAGTCTGGTCAGCATGTTGTATGATTTTCCTCTAACAAGTTTAGCTGCTCTCATGAGATTCAACATATAAATGCATTTAACCAAAATGCTGTTCTGCCAATCATAGATTAAGTATACACTTGTATTTAAACCCAGTAGGCTACACCAGATAAGTAGGATGGGAAAGAGGGGCAAAGGAGACAAGGGTGTCTCCAAGGAAATGGTCATTGGGCTAGACCATAGGACCTAGACTGGTTCTTATGAGAAGGGAGTTGATGAGTGAGGATAGCAGTTCGAAAGATATATATTTGTGCAAACCTTATTTGTATCCTCAATCAAACAAACAAAATATTTTTTTAAGGCAAATGAAACTTAAGTTAAAACAAAAAATTCTATTTCTTGATCAGGGAACTGGTTATGTGGAGGTTCAATTTACAATAATTTGGTAACCTATACATGTACGTTTACGTGTTTTTCTTAATAAATATTATATTTACAATAAAAAGTTTTTTTAAAAAAAATAATGACACTAAGAGATAATTGCAAATTTAGTATTTTTATATTTGATATTTTATGATATTGATCCTGAAAGACATTATTTTAAGTGAGATAAGTCAGACACAGAAAGATAACTACCACATCCTCTCACTCATATGTGGGAGCTAAAAAAATGTTCAGCTTATAGAAGTAGAGACTAGAATTCTGGTTACGAGAGGTTGGGAAGGGGTAGAATATTGAAGTATATAGGAAGATGTTGGTTAAAAAATACAAAATTATAGCTATATAGCAAAAATAAGTACTAGTGGTCTACAGTAGTGCTAGGCATCTATAATTAACAACGATTTATCGTATGTTCTCAAATAGCTAGAAGAGAGCTCAAGTGCTCTTACCACAAAGAAATGATAAATATGCTAATTACCCTGATTTGATCATCACACACTATATACATATACTGAAATATGTTCGTACCCCATTAAATTTGTACAGTCAATATGTGTTCATTAAAAAATATTCTTTAAAAATAAATTTAAAAAAAGAATTCTAGGTAAAATAACATATTGTGTTTATATATTTTTTAAAGAATCTGTTATGGATAGATATATCTAGGATATACTTTAAAATAATACAGGAGGTGCAGAAGGAAATGGGGGTAAAAATGAAACAAGACTGACAATGAGCTGATAATTGTTTAGGTTGGATAATAGGTACAGGAGGGTTCATTACACTATTCAGTCTACTTTTGTAAATGTTTGAAATTTTCCATAATGAAAAATTAAGAAAAGAAAAAAGTCATATATAAAGTTAACACTTCAGATGAAATTTGTATATCTCTGGTTAATAATAATTCATGGTTTTAAGACCTGAAAAACTTTAAAACTTGTACATATGTAGAATATAGGAGGTCCTTATCATAATTTGCATATTTTAATAAAAACAAGGGGCCATGAAGTTAAAGAGAGTGGTGCAATTAATAGAACAAATCAAAAGATGTGTAATTATATTTACTCTGTAATATTTTCTATAAGGATTAACTTCACAAATAATTTTCTTGATTTAAAGAAATACTTTTGAGTAAAAAAATTCTAAATGAACAAGACAAATAACAGAAATTAAAAATACAGCCATTTTTATCATTCAAAAGCTTTCTTACGCTTTACAGTAAACAACTCTTCAATATTTACCACAGTCATTTCAATATACTACAAGTATTTTACAACCTGCGGTACAAACCAGCACTCCATTAAGATAGGTTTTTTAAAAAGTATTTATAAAAACTTTGAAATCAAACTTACTATTTCTTTCTGTTCTCTTGGAAAAGAAGAAAATAAGCACTGTTCTTATGCTCCAAATGCTAAAGGGGAAGCAAAATTCAGAAACAAAATCCAACATTAGGAGAAGTGATTTGGAAGCCACATAAAATGAAAAAATATATATATTTCCATTTAAAGTTAGGTACATTTTCTCACTTTAAATACTGAAATTTAAATCCTTTCTGTCAGAGAACATCAGAAGTCTATCCGGGTTTTCAAAGGAGGAGTTTGCGGTCTAAAGTCCATGGACCTTCTGAGGGTCTCCCTGAACTGCAAAATTGCCTTTTTGTGCATAAGTGCATTTCTCTGGAGAGACCATTGCTTTCGTCAATCTCAAAAGTGTCTGTGAACTTCCCAAAAGATTGAGGACAATATTACAGAATCCCTTCTTACTAAGTAAGCATCACCTCCAAAAACTTGTCTCATCTATTCCCATGCATTAAGTCAAAAGCATGTTTCACTTTTAAAAATGTACAGCATTAGACAAATGTAGTTGCTACTTCTTGCCTGTTATTTAACATTGGAAGTATCTTCTCTACTTAACAAAATAAGCTATCGGGGGCGGGGGGGATTTCACCTTCAAATAAATATTTGATAAGTAAACTTAGTGAAATACCTCCTTCCAAAGATTTTATAAGAATAACTCTTTAGACCTTGCATTAGTAGGACATAAAATGATATTAAAAGAATTAAAAGAGATATGAAAGATGATCCTAATCACAAACTTGTCAAGGTCATCTCATAAATTCAATGGAAATATAGCAAAATACTTCTTTCTCCACAGAACATGGCAGAAATAAATATACAAATGTTATTTGCCATCTTAAAAAAGAAATACATCGTATCTGGATATAAACTCAGAATATAAGAATGAAAATTAGTTCTTTTCTCTGAAATACAGCACTGTTACTTCTACAGAGTCAGCTGGAAGGTAGTCACCAGTGATCCCTATCTATTGGTATTCACACCATTGTGTAGTCCTCTCCCACCAGAGTTTCTCAGTGTGAGCAATAGCATGTGGCAGAAGTGAGAGTATGTCACCCTCTTAAGTTTAAGTTATAAAAGACTACAGCTTCCATTTTGGGCCTCCTCTTTCACTCACTGTCTTTTTCTCTTGAATTACCCACTCTGAGAGAAGCCAACTGTCATGATATGAGAATAGTCAGGGAGTCTACGCAAAGGCCAATGTGGTGAGGAACAGAACTCTGTGGTAACACCCAGCAAAGAACTGAAGCCTGCTAACAACTACAGGTGTGAGCTTAGAAGTAGATTCAGGAAAAACTGGCCAAAATGTACAAGATCACACCAAGATGTCATCTTTGTATTTGGATTCAGAACCCATTTTGTTAATGGCAAAACAACTGGCTTTGGCATGATTTATAATTCCTTGGATTATGTAAAGAAAAATAAACCCAAACATAGACTTGCAAGACATGCCTATATGAAAAGAAAAAGACCTCAAAGAAACGGTAAAAAGTATCAAGAACACAGGCCCAACCACCTGACCACTGATGCAATCCTACCTGCCTGGCACTAACATGGCCCCACCTGCACATGTGGGCCCAAACATCCAGCCACCCACACGGTCCCAGTCACCCTTACCACCCATGCGGCCCCAGACATCCAGCCACCCGAGTAGTCCCAGACACCAGAGCTGCCCACCCGCCACACACACACATGTGGGCTCAGCTAGCCATCCAGCCACCTGCATGGGCCCAGCAGCAAGTACAACCCCAGCCACAGATGTACCTGCCTGTGGCCCCCAGAATTACTGAGTCTACCCAGAACTACTGAGTCTTCCCAGAACAACTGAGACTACCTAGAACTACTGAGACTACTGAGTCTACCAAGAACCAAGACTAAATAGAGAATGTACAACAAATCTACAGGAGGAAATCTCTCTCCTCAAAAGCCACCCAGAGAAATAGAAGCAATCATTCCACAAGATGACCAGACATTAACATAGGGATACTAGAAACATGAAAAAAGAAGAACATATGATACCACCAAAGGAATACCATAATTCTCATATACCAGACCCCAAACAACAGGAAATCCTTGAAATGTCTGAAAAGGAATTCCAAGTAAAAATCTTAAAGAAACTCAGTGTGATACATGAAGACTCAGAGAGACGACACAAAAATGCAAAAAACAATCCAGGACATGAAGGAGGAAATTTACAAGGAAATGAAAAGCATAAAAAAGAATGTAGCAGATCTCCTGGAACTGAAAGAGTCATTCAATAAAATGAAAACTACATTGAAAGCATAAGCAGCAGCCTAGAGCAAGTGGGAGAAAGAATTACTGATCTTGAAGACAGTCTTATCAAAATAACAAAAGTGAACAACAAAAAAAAGAGAATAAAACAAATGAAAAAATCTACAAGAGCTATCAGTCAACCTCAAGCACACAAACATCAAAATCATGGGTGTTCCGGAGGAGAGAAGAAAGGAAAAGGCATTGAAAACATACTCAATGAAATAATAGCAGAAAACGTCCCAGGTATTGGTAGAAATATGGATTTCCAGGTCCAAGAGGCTCAAAGATCCCCAAACAGATTCAATCCAAAAAGATCCTTTCTGAAACACCCTGCAGTCAAATTGTCAAAAGTCAAAGACAAAGAGAAAATCCTAAAAACAGCCAGAGAAAAGCATCAAGTCACCTATAAATGAGTCCCTATCAGAGTAAGAGCAGACTTCTCAGCAGAAACCCTATAGGCCAGAAGAGATAGGATGAAACTACTAAAAGAAAAAAATGCCAGCCAAAAATACTATGCACCGTAAGACTATCTTCAGAAAAAGGGGAAATAGTGTATTTCCCTGACAAACAAAAGCTGTGGGAGTTCAGTACCACATGACCAGCTCTATAAGAAATCCACAAAGGAGTCCTACACCTGGAACTCAAAAAATGAGAATCACCACTATGAATACATGAAAAAGAACACACACAACTGATAGAGCAGATATGCAAAGGAGAGAGAGAAACTATACCACACAACTTCAAAAAACCAACAAATACCAAAGACAACAAAATAAAAGGGAAAGAAAGGAAGAGAAGATATTCAAATCAGCTATACAAAAAGCAATTAAATACTAGGAATAAGACAATATCTTTAAATAACAACCCTAAATATAAATGGATTAAATTACCCACTCAAAAGACACTGACCAATTAGATTAAAAAGATAATGGGAACTATATGATGTCTAAAAGAGACTCACCTCACCTGTAAAGACACAAACAGACTAATACTGAAGGGATGGGGAAAAATATACAACACAAATGGAAACCAAAAACAAGCAGGAATTGCTATTCTCATATCAGATAAAATAGACTTTAAACCATAAAAAAAGACAAAGATGGCCATTATATAATGATAAATGGATCTATGCACCAAGAAGATATAACAATCATACATATATATGCACCCAACACCAGAGCACCCAGATATATAGAGCAAACACTGTTAGACTTAAAGAGAGACCCAAATACAATAATTGAGGACCTGAACACCCATCTTTCAACATTGGACAGATCATATAGGCAACAAATCAGCAAATAAACGCAGGACTTAAACTACACCTTAGACCAATTGGACATGACAGGTATCTACAGAACATTTCATCCAACAACCACAGAATATACATTCTTCTCATCAGCACATGGAACATTCTCCAGGATAGAACACATGTTAGGTCACAAATCAAGTCTCAACAAATTTTTAAAAATTGAAATCATTTTAAGTATCTTTTTAGACCACAACAAATTAAAATTAGAACTCAATAACAAGTGAAATTCTGGAAAGTATACAAACACATGGCAATTAAAACAACATGCTCCTAAACAACCTATGGGTCCAAGAAAAAATTAAACAGAAAACGAAAAACTTTCTTGAAAATAATGAAAATAAAGACATATCATACCAAAACTTGTGGGATACAGCAAAAGCAGTACTAAGACAGAAGTTTATTACCATAAACATGATTACACCAAAAGCATAACAAGATTTCAAATAAACAACTTAATGCTACACCTCAAAGAAGCAGTAAAACAAGAATACAATCCCCAAATTAGTAGACAGAAAGAAATAATTAAGATCAGAGCAGAGCTAAATGAAATAGACTCAAAACACAATACAAAAGATCAATGAAACAAAACATTGTTTTTTTTTTTGAGAAGATAAGCAAAATAGATAAATAATTAGCTAGGCTAATTAAGAAAAAGAAGAGAAAAGACTCAAATAACAAAAATCAGAAATGAATGAGGAGAAATTATAACTGATACCACAAAAAAGCAAAGAATCATAAGAGACTATTATAAACAACTATGCACAAACAAATTTGAAAACCTGGAGGAAATGATGAAATTTCTGGATACAAACTACCAAGACTGGACTAAGAAGACACAGAAAACCTGAACAGACCAATAACAAGCAACAAGTTTGAAGCAGTAATCAGCAGTCTCACAACAAAGAAAAGCCCAGGAACAGATGGTTTTGCTGCTGAATTCTACAAAACCTTAAAGAGAAATTAATACCAATTCTCTCCAAACTATTCCAAAAAATTAAAACTGAGGCCATTCTCTCAAACTAATTTTATAAGGCCAGGATCACCCTGATACCAAAACCAGAAAAAGATATAACAAAGAAAGAATACTACAGGCTAATATCTCTGATGAACACAGATGCAAAAATCCTCAGCAAAATATTAGCAGATGGAATACAGCAGCACATCAAAAAAACTATACACCATGGTTGGCCAGTGGCACACTGGATAATGCATCTGACTACAGATTAAAAGATCCTAAAAAAATTATACACCACAGTCAAATGGGATTCATCCCACAGATTCAGGGATGGTTCATATATGCAAGTCAATAAATGTGATAAATCACATCAACAAAATCAAGGACAAAAACCATATGATTATCTCAATAGATGCAGAAAAAGCATTTGACAAAATTCAACATTCTTTCATGATAAAAACTCTCAGCAAATTAGGTATAGAAAGAAAATATCTCAGTAAACACAATAAAAGCCATATATGACAAACCCAACACCAAT